TCCCCACCACAAGGCTCTGGACATGAACAATACAAAATAGCTGCAAACCAAGCTTCAGTCATTTCACACCAGGGGCTTACCAAACAAAAGCAAGTGTGAGACCATGTTTACTTCTGAACGGCACTGAATGTGAAAAATTGTTGGTCTTGAAATATCTCAGGATAGTACTTTTGGCACACTCTCAGCCAAGATTTCTTCATGGTGCTGTTATAAGATGGTATCCTATTTCCTTGTTTGGGTACTCATTTTGTTTGTTGCGTCTATGGTGTAAAACTTTCACAAACAACCAATATATATCTGAGTTTGAAACTGTTTATATAGTATATTGTTTTTAGTTTCCCCTGCACTGAGCCTGAACCTGTTGAATCCTTTTGTACTACTTTAATTTGTTTTCATACTATTAATTTAAATCTGTAAATAATTGCTTTATTGTGATGTGATGAACTAAATGTTCCTTTTGGCTAAGAATAGTAGATCAGAAATGCCAAGTTAACATAAAATGAACCAAGTTTTATTTTCTCATAAGTAATAGTCTTGAATATTGGAAAGCTAAAGCAGTGACTGTAGAATAGAATGCTTTTTTTTTTCAAAAGAAGAATCATGTATGGGCATTCTGTGGCTAAAGAATTATGTCTTTGGTCCACAGTTAAATATGCTTATCTTAAATTCAAAAAATTTACAAAATGCTATTCCAAGAATGATTGGATATTCTTTGAAATCTAACTGTATTTTTATATGTGCTGCCAAAGTGAGCACAAAATCTAACTGTATTTGAAGACATATGTTAAAATAAACATGTTTATTTTACCAGTTAAGATACAAGCTAAAATGCAACAAAGAAAACCTAAACACATGGATCAACCAAAAGAGACACCTAATTCTCTCTACCTTGAAACATTCTAGAAAGTCATCCATTGGCTAGAAATTAGCACAGTCCTACATCCAGCTCACAGGGTGGCTGAATGGTAATCTTTTAGTAGGAAACCTGTAAAGCTGTATAGCCCTGGGATAGCCACTACCAGGAGGGACAAATTAGTCACCTACCACACATATGCCTCATTTAATCCTCACAGCAATCCTATAGGGGAGGTATTACTATCTCTCTTTTATATATAAAAGAAACTTTCAGCTTGATAATTTAAGGGTCAAAACAAAGTTTATAAGTCTAAAGAGTAAGAGAGCCACATGCAAATCCAACTCAGGCTGCCATTAATGAGACTATATATTTGGTGAATAGAAAGAAACATTTGAACTTCTTACTCACAGTGTGGTTTTTAAATATATGCAA